GCATGGTTCACACGTCCCTGTTTCCTCCTGTGAGTCTCATTTCCCCTCGTCCTTCTCTCCTGCCCCTTCCTCCTTGGGAACTTCCCCCTGGGGTACATGCTGCCCTCTGACCTGACGTGGATTCTTCTCTGGAGGGAGGGTTTCCCTAGTACAGTCATTCCCCTTGTAGGCCTGTGTGTGTTGGCTGAGAGCTGAGCTATGGGGCTGATGGTCGCACCAGGAACAGGGGGTGACTCGGGCCTTAGGGCTGGGGGTCCCGAGCCCGCCATGCTTCCTGCTTTGAGCTTCATTGCACGTTTCCCGCACTCCACGGAGGGGTGTCTACTGTGGCCGCGTTGAGGATGGTCAGCAGTGGTAGCCTTGGGAGGGAGAACTCAAGGTCCGTGTGGGCCAGTAAGTGCCATGTTTTAGGCCGAGGGATATTTTTCTCTTAAAAAGATGGTTGTTGTTTGCCGCTGAGTCAGAACCGACCCATAGCTGACCCCCAGCGGGTCTCCAGAGGCAGTTCATGGCATAGGCGGGGACTGTCCGTCATTGAGCTACGGAGAGCCTGGTGGACGCACACTACGTGCCTTAGGTTCCATGCAGTCCTTACTGGCAGTCCGTGGTCTCCTTGCTGTGCATCGGAGAGCTGGCAGTGCCAGAGAATGACAGGAGAATTGATGCCTTCGAGTTGTGGTGCTGGACAAGAATCTTGAACATCCCGTGGACCGCCAGGAAAAATAGGTTTGACTTGAGAGGGTGAAACCAAGTCTCTCCTTGGAGGCAAGGATTCTGAAGCTCCATCTCACAGACTTCGGGCACGTGGCCAGGAGGGACCCGTCCTTGGAGAAGGGCATCATGTTTGGAAGGGCGGAGGGACAGAGCAGGAGAGGAGGACCCCGGATGAGATGGATTGCTACGGTGACTGGGGCAGCGGGAGTTGGTGTGTCAGAATCAGTGAGACTGGCTCAGGACAGGGAAGGCTTCAGAGGTGCTGTACACGGTGTCACCATGGGTCGCAGGCGACTCGGCCACACTTAACAGCACAACAAGCCTTCACAGTGGCTTTAGGATTTGTCTCTAAACTCGGCATGTGGAGAATAGGGGCGGATTTCGTGCCCACTGCTGCGAGCGTCTGCTGCCCTGCCGTCTGAGCACACAGACAGTTAGACTTCTATACCACTGTGTTCTGAGCCTGGGCCTTCGTCCCTGCGGTGTCGGCTGGAACTCGTGCTTCCTGGGTGACCTCCCTGTGCACCACCGTCCGTGGTCACGTCCCCCTGTGGGTGAGGGACGCTCCCACACCACACACAGTGTCCTAGAGCCAGAGCTTGTGCTGCGTGACCTCCCTGTTCACCACCGTCCATGGTCACGTCTACCTGTGGGTGAGGGACGCTCCCACACCGCAGACAGTGTCCAGCGTCCACGCAGTGCTGTCTGGGGGCGTCCCATAGCGGTGTTATTCTTTTGAAGTCGTCCTGTTTGCACGTCGCCTTTCCAGAGCAGTGGGCTGGGCAGGCCGGGCTGCATCGCAGCAGTCGGTGTCACTGTGCTCACGTCCTGTGTGCAGTTTGTCATTTGCTGTATGATTGGGTGAGGTAATCATGAGAACAAGCACGTCCTCCCGCGCCCCCACCCCAGACAGCAGAGCCACCTCCGTCCCCTGGGGTAGAGTCCGTTTGTGGGGCCCCCAGGAGGCGCTCCCACACCCCAGACAGCTGAGCCACCACTGTCCCCTGGGGTAGAGTCCGTTTGTGGGGACCCCAGGAGGCGCTGCCTCTCCTTTCTGCTGGGGCAGGTCGGGCTGCACCTTCCAGCCAGCCCAGGTTTGCATCGGGCACCACCGCGTGTCTTATGCCTGGTGCCCTTGCATTTTAACCAGGCTAGTGTGGTGTTCAGACTGACGGACAGACAGACAGTTCTGGGACTGGGGGCAGCCCATGCTTGTTGGTGTGAGGCCTCAGCCTCACTTGTGGAGACAAGAGGCCATCACTCTGGGTCCTCGGGTGGGGACAGGTGGCCAATATGGGGGGGGTTCTAGGTGGGGACAGGTGACATACCCTCTGGGTCCTCAGGTGGGGACAGGTGGCCGGCAGTGGTGTTCTGGGGTCGGACAGTCACCACCGTACCTGTGTCCCCTCTGACCTGTCCGTCTTCAGCAGTCCTGCTGGTCCCATGGGCCTTCTAGAGCTGGCTTCCGTCTGCGTGTCCCCGGCCTGCCGCTGGCTAGTGTCTTCCCTTCACAGTGCTCCCTGCCATCCTTTCCACAGTGATCCACTCGGCCCTCCCTCTCTGTGCAGGTCAGGGGGGAGCTGTCCCCAGGTGTCCACTCGGCCCTCCCTCTCTGCGCAGGTCAGGGGGGTGCTGTCCCCAGGTGTCCACTAGGCCCTCCCTCTCTGCGCAGGTCAGGGGGGAGCTGTCCCCAGGTGTCCACTCGGCCCTTCCTCTCTGCGCAGGTCAGGGGTGCTGTCCCCAGGTG